GGCCGTGCTAAATTGCCCCATAGTGCCCAGGGATGTGCAGGTTAGGGATGGGTTAACCATTGGAAATGCAGGGTTACAGGGATAGAGTGGGTCTTGGTGGGACACCCTTTGGAGGGTCAGTGTGGACTTGATGAACCAAATGGCCTGCTTCTTTACTGTAGGAAATCTATCAGAGTTAGTCAAACTCACCCACCACCAGCATATCTCTCTCTCTCTCATGATGAGAGGGGGGGTAATTTTACCATTTTACGAGATACCTTTCTTTTGACATATCGACATTTGGATCATCATTTCAATGAGAGTCTCCACCTGTCTGCTATTCTCTTTCATACCAAAGTGTACAGCCTTAACCTGATGGTATCTCGGGTGAGAGGGAGAGCTAAAGTGAGATGAACAGAAAAGAAAAGGAGGATTGTACTCACGTACCGTTATTCCTTCAATACGAAAACCAAGCGAGGCAGTGGAGCTAATGGTCTCTCTCCACTGCATGTAACGCACTTTGGTCACCCCGGCCTGCCCGTGTTCCTGCTCTGTCGGTGCCCTAGGGTCTACTTTACTCATCTTCTGGTACAGGTCCTTGCGGTAAACAACATTCTGTCGGTCTTTGGTCATCTCCTCTTCCAGGTAGGTCCTGAACACACACACACGACACACACACACACACAACACACGCACGACACACACACACGCGCGCACGACACACACACGCGCACGACACACACACGCGCGTGCACGACACACGCGCGTGCACGACACACACGCACGCACGACACACGCACACGCACGACACACGCACACACAACACACACACACACACACGATACACACAGACACACAGAATCACAAACACACACACGCACACACACACGACACACACACACACGCACATACACAGACACACAGAATCACAAACACACACACGCACACACATGACACACCAACACACACACACAGACACAGACAGAATCGAATTAACGTTTTATATTCTCCGGATCTACCACCCTCCCCCCTCCAATCACAATGTGTGGGCATCATGGCCAACAGTGGGGGAACCAACTCCTGCACAGCAAGATCCCATGGACGACTCCCTGGAGAGCAGTTTTTTTTAAATTTTAAGTCATGTTCTTTGATGGATAAACGCTAGCCCCTGGACACTGCTCTGAAAGCTCTCCGCATTTCAGTTCCGACATTGGTTCTACGTCAGTCTGAGAGGGAAGAGAGTTATTTTATTTTCATTCATTCATTGTTGGACCCAGCATTTATTGCCCCATCCCTAATTGCCCAGAGGGCAGTTAAGAGTCAACCACATTGCTGTGGGTCTGGAGTCACATGTAGGCCCAGACCGGGTAAAGATGGCAGTTTCCTTCCCTAAAGGGCATTACTGAACCAGATGGGTTTATCCAACAATCGACAGTGGGTTCATGGTCATCATTAGATTCTTAATTCCAGATATTTTGTTAAATACAAATTCCACCATCTGCCACGGGATTCGAACCCGGGTCCCCAGAACGTTACCTGGGTCTCTGCATTAACAGTCCGGCAATAATACCACAAGGTCATCACCTCCTCCCATTGTCTAAGGCCTTTGGAGGGGGTACCCCACAATGCCCCGATTCTTGAGCTTTTAAAGCCTGCAATGGCAGGGGGTTGAGGCAAAGGTGTTGTGGAGTGTGGGCACAGGGAAAGGGGGAGGGGGTAGATAGAAAGGCCACTTTCTGTGCCATAAGTTCAACATCACCCAGGTGCCTGGCAGTTGTTCTGTGTAACTAGCTGCAGAGGGGCTGAATGGCCTCCTCATGTTCCTATGGGGCAGGCTGGAGAAGGGGCTGAACGGCCTCCTACTGTTTTTATGGGACAGGCCATAGAAGGGGCTGAACGGCCTCCTACCGTTTTTATGGGACAGGCCATAGAAGGGGCTGAACAGTCTCCTCCTGTTTTTATGGGACAGGCCGTAGAAGGGGCTGAATGGCCTCCTCCTGTTCTGATGGGTCAGGCCATAGAAGGAGCTGAATGGCTTGCTCCTGTTCCTATGGGACAGGCCATAGAAGGGGCTGAACAGCCTCCTCCCGTTTTTATGGGACAGGCCGGAGCGGGGCTGAATGACCTGCTCTGTTCCCAGTGCCACTGTAACTCAGTCCACCTTAACCCACCTCCCCAAGGTGGTGGCATCCACTCACTCACCTAGTGCCCATCTTGCAGTCCATGATGCAGGGGGAGTGTAGACCTGCCAGGAGATCCTCCATCTGGATAAACTTCTCGCCGTCTTTCTCCACCACCCCATAATAGGCCGGCACGTAGGGCTTGAGGATATCACCCATCAGCTTCTGCAGGCACCGACTCTCATTCACACTAAACTTCTTCAGTATGTGACCAGCTTCACTCAGCCGGAAATGTCCTGATGGGACGGAGGGGAGATGTAAAAGGCAGCTTTCAGTCAAGTGGGCAGTACTGAGGGAGTGGGCACTGTCGGAGGGTCAGTGCCGAGGGAGCGCCGCGCTGTCGGAGGGTCA